GTATTGATAGTTTATATGTGGTTTTTCCAAGTTTTACCATGCAGAGTTCTTGCAAAATCTCCTTCAATTCAAGGGACTTGTGGGTTATGTGGGTTGCAGACCCATGAAAAAGTGGAAAAACTTGAGCCGATGCGATGATTATTCTCATCCGAGGTGATGCGGAACAGTGGTCAGAAACAAAAAAATACTACCAGTCATGAGATCTATGATCCTTGAATATTCAGATCATGGACTTGAGCATTACTTGAGCACCCTGGAATGCCCTGGACATACCAACCAAGGGATTCCCGAACTAGCTTGCTAGCTTTGCTGGGTTGGATGCGGCAAAGTTCTTTTTCTGGCGCCACGAGGGTGACCCATGGGCCCACAGGGCTGTCCTGGATGGTCTTGTCAACCATAGGTGGCACGACAGGCAAATCCTGCTGCTGGATTCGTGGCTTCAGGGTTCATTGAAGCCCAGGCAGGTCAGATTTCCTGGAAATCCTTGGAAATCCACTGGATTTACAGGCACACTTTCCTCTAAAGTTTCTGGATTGAAACCAACCCAATGATTGAAGTTCTCTTGCAGACACAGGAAGATTGAAATTTGAGTCTCCACTTCAAATGAAACATCTGCACCAGTCATCACTGACAGCAACGGCATCAACAACAGGCAGCAACTAATGACTGACCAATCAACCCACCAACTCTATATAAGTCCAACAAACAAACCATATGTGCAGCCCCGAAAAAAGGCAGCACCCTTCGTAAGATCCAGCGTAAATCCACATGCTTCCTCCATTACTATCGCATCATCGAAGGCAATGGAAAACCCATTATTTATAAACGTTTAATAGATGATTTCTCATTCAAAGCTCAATTTGTATGGGATTTCCCATTGCTATGTTTGATTACCACATGGTAATGGAGATATATGGAGATCACAACTTGGCATTGGAACTCGCACCTGGAACTCGCTATCAAAACCGCCATGTGGAGTGGAAGACAATTCGCCCGCAGCCACCTGGTCTCGGGATGTGTCGGGTCTGTTTTCCTTTCCAACTCGATATGAATGATATAAATCAAATCGATATCATGTGATCCTTTGATGACTGACAGTTGCCACAGTGATGCTGACTCCAAACTGCCTGGAGATTTCCGAATGACTTCACAACCAGCGCATCCCAGCGCCTTGATGGCCTGTTCCAGGTCCAAAATCAGGTCCTGTGCATCCTCAATACCCACCGATAGCCTGGACGTCCATCTGAACAAAACTGGTGGCGAAAATAGGCACGAAAACGGTGCTCAAACATGGCGTGCTGGAAAAAAAAAACATTTATAGATGATTGTCCTATCAGGACCTCCGTTTATAGGGTATTTTCATGTCAATGTATTTTCCATTGCCATGTTTCAGCACTAAAGGGCACAGTCAGTTTTACAGGGTAGTGATTTGCTCGTAGTTTGTAGTAATTACGCCAATTTGTGAGATGACATAATACTTGTGCCAGTGTTTTATTCACGATGGCTGCCTATAATGTTTCGCTTCGCTTCAATGCAAAGTGCCAAATGTTTTCGCAGAGTTGTGCGCTTTTTCTTTCAGGAGCAAACAAATGAACTCTGGACCCCTTCCTGTCCCTCCAAGCCATTCGCGCTTCCTTTCCACACATTCCACGGATTCGGAAGGTTTCCAGAACAATCCGTTCCTTTGCTACAGTTTAAATTCAAAGCAACACCCAAACTATTTTTTGAAGAGGGTAGCCCTGAACCACAAAAGATACAAAAGTACTAAATCGTGCAAGGAACCATCGCATTGAATAATATCAAGGACTTTCCTGTGCTTTTTGCAAATCCCACAAAAGCATCACTCCTTTGCTACAGCTATGAATCTTCGCAACCACCACTTCAACAGAATACTAAGATTTCCAAAAAAGCAAAAAAAAATGCAACAAATCTGGAAAAAAGATGAAAAAAGGACAGTTTAGACAAAAAGAAATGCAATAAGGAAAGAAAAAGACAGCAACGAATAACGAAGGAATATGAAGGAATATCGAAGGAGAAAAATCGAGAACAAAAAGCAACAGGCTCAAGACAAACGTACGCCTTCCAGGGATGTGAGACTTCAAGCCCTTTTGATTTCAACAGAACAAATGAAGATATGAATAGGATTAGATGGTGATAAAGACATATTTTATCATATTTTCAGATTCTCTTAAAGGACCACAATCAGTGACATCTTTGCCATATCTTTGCCATGGTTTATGGTCATCCATTGGTCATCCATCCCCTGGAACCGGTCGGCGACCTGATCAGGTCCGCCGGCAGAGTTCGCTTCTCTGCGGGAATCGATGCGTGACCTGGTGGCACTGGAGAACCAGAGAGAAAATTTAGAGGGAAACCTGGAAATGTTATCTGGTTGGTGGTTTCAACCCCTCTGAAAAATATATGAGTCAGTTGTTCACCTGATTGCCGACATTTTGCGGGAAAGATCAGTTTTTTGAACTCAGGATTTCCTATGATTTCCGAAAACACATTCCGACTTGACTTTCTCAATATGACTCAATCAATTGTCGAACAAAAAGAGTTATCGCTGCCACTATTGATCCATCATGATCCGTCCCCACTTTTGCGATCCCCATCAGGTCAAGGTGGCTCATCGTGCAAGGCATCTCCAATAGGCTGTTCACACCTTGGCCAGTAACGGGACCATCAAAGCTGGTTGATTCAGCTGCAAGGCAGACCGAATGTCGATGAACATCAATCGAGATAGATCAGATAGACAGACTCCAGTTTGAGCCAGTTTCCAAGAAGGGACACCAACAAATGTCTCTGAGACTTGAACTGCCGAAGGAAACCGTCGTCTTAAAGATTTTGCCTCAGCTCGCAAGTTCATGCAGTGAATGTGTGAATTGACAATCCACAGACTGCGTTCCTCAAAGGGCCTTAGCCATCTACAAGCATCCACCAGTCGACGTGAGAAGTCCAGAGATCCTGAGGCCATTCCATAGCCATGTCAAGTAGGAATATGATCGATCAACCATGGGCCGATGGGCCATTGTGGTAATAATATGTGGCAAATATGTAGTAACATGTGGCAATGTAATATATCGGTTTTTCTTCCAAGTTTTGAGACTATCCCGGTCCGTCTCTGAAGACTCAGTTAAGTAATGTGGCAAATTGGCAACTTTCACCATCCCAAATTTTGTAGAAATTAGATGATAAATCCCCATTGACTGATCATATGATCCACAGGAATGGCTACACGATTAGCGACATCCGAAGTTTGGTGCCACTCTATCCTGTCTTCAAACAAGGCTGGAAAATCCACCATTTATAGATATTTATTATATAATAATAGATATATTTATTATAGATCTTAGATATTTATAGATATTTATAGATATTTATATAATTATATATAGATATAATAGGTGATTTTCCATGATTTTCCCACGGAAAACGCTCCATTTAGTGCATGGCATTTCCCAGCCCTGAGAAGTTTCCGACGGATCGCCTGTCGTGAAGCTGATGACTGATCCACTGCCTTTGCTCTGAGAGCAATGGATCGCTAGGCCTCGGAGTGGTTCAAAAATCCTCCCAAAAATGGGTTTGTTGCCGACGGGATACCCCCAAATATCCCAAATTGCGAAAACAAAAAAATGCGAAAACAAAGAAAAACGAAGCATGTGGACCTTTGGAAGTAAACGTACCGCATTTTCAGACAACCCCATAGGCAGTTGACTTCCGGACCTGAAAAAAGACTCCAAGTATGTTGTTTGAGGCGTATTTACAAAAAACTGGGAACAACAAACAAAACAAACCGTGTGGGTCGAAACCCTAGTGCCCTGATGTGCCCTGCGTTCACACTAGAATGGCTGGTAGTTACGGATGTTCTCCAATCTCATTTGTGTATGGACTTGTCTGAAAATGGGTACCCCCAAATTGGATGGCTGATCCTCAACGTCCGGCTCAAAAAATTGTTTCGTGGGGGTATCAATGTGGGGACAACCCCTAATATTGAACCCAAGGTGGGGTAGACTCAAAAAAAATGGTGATATTTTATGGGACATGATAGGGACTTCACCAACAACGTATGGTGATAATGGATGATCATGATCCCCAATGATGGTTTAGAATAAACTCTCCCCAATATTAATGTCAACTCTGGATTAATAAACCCCTAGGCTGTTTAATTCGGGGGATACCATTTAAGTATCAAATTATGACTATCATAATTTAAATCTTTTTAAATCGGTGTTAAACATTTGGCCCAATGGTAGATTGACCCACACACTTGGCTCTGGGACTGGTCGCGTCACAACCACCAGGGCCAGGAAACAGAACCTGGAGAAGCGCGCGAAAAAAAGCGAAGCAGACGGGAACCCCAAAAAGGGGGGAACCTGAACTTTTCCACACATACTGTGGATGGAAGAAATCCTGCACCAGTTGATAGGTTGTTTAACCCATTATTATAAGGTTTCAACCATCCAAGGTGGTGCATGACTGAACTTCTCCACACATAGCAAGCCACAACACGTCTTCATGAATGGTTGTTTCATGATTTGTTGATCAGATTCCTGCTGCATTCTCGGGATGGGATGAGGCTTTGATCAAACTGCTCCAAGAGAACAGCAGCCTTCTCAATGTGTGGATTTCGGAGGAGGAAGTTGACGACCTGAGTCTTGGCTCCATCTTATGATTATTATGTGACCATAACATACCATAAGCATCCATGAACATATTATACCATGATTATACCATGTTATACCAACCCTTGGGAAATGCCGCGTGTAATTATTCTTGACCAGGGAAGTTCATGATTTTGGCAGGTTCCAACGGTTCCAACGCATTCGCACTGCGCTGCAGCACTGTGGATGAAGGTAAGCTTCCCTACCCGGCGTGCGCTTTGTTGAGCGCGTTCAACTCTCCTTGGTTCAGCGCTGACGGTTGAATTCTTTGGCAAGGCCAGGCAACAACAGTATCCAGGGATATCCAGGGTGTCAGGGAAATGAAAATGCATCTTGTTCGAACAGATCTAGTGATGATGATCCAAATCGATCAATATGAAGTCATGTGTCGACCAGTAAATCATGAGGTGTGCTGCAATGTAATCTTTCCCACTCATATGAGTAGACATGGAATGTGTGGGAGTTCATCTCGATCAGAAGCAGAAGCAAGAGGTACTTCACAAGAAGTAACCAGGTAATAATTGTAAGCGTAAACAACCAATGATTCAACACCACCTAGGATATAGAATGCCTTCCTTTGACCACGAGCCAGCACTCACATAACAAGGGTTTCCATGTTTTTTCCACAGGTTCATAACGCTTGGCACATTGATGTGCGTTGATGTTTTCGGTTGTGTCTTGGAGTCTTGCCTGAGGACCTGGCAAAAACATTGTTTTGATTCCACGAAGGAAGAGAAAGCACCTCATCTCAACTGCTGAGTCCGTGTGAATCACACGTCATAGGCATATTCTGTGGCCCCCCCTGGAGAATCCGTTGTGTCACTGTGGTACCACTAAGAAACCCTGCAGCATGTCTCTGTCAGCAATGTTGTTGTGCAAGGAGAGCTTTGTTGCAAGGACCCCTTTTTTATCATCTATAATCCCACAATATCCCACATATGATATGGATCAAAAAACCATGGTATTTACACTTTACATCAAAAAGACCTTCAGAAGCTGTCCCTTCCCCCCCGAAATCAGATGGTCCAAACCCCCAGAGGCGCCCAACTCAAATGGAGCCAATGCAGTCCCCTCAGCATTCTGCAGGAAGGCCACTCGGTGTGCCAGTTCCTGAAGGCGCTGAAACTGAGGGCAAAATCAGATCCATATTTTTACCTGCCATCTTTTTGGTGTTCAGTGTTCACCTTAAAATACCGGGCTTTTGACACCAAAAATCGGCTGGAATAAATTCAAAGCTTCAAGTTTGGCTTTCGGAAAGTGTCTATCTCTATGGACTATCAAATTTCAGGTTGGCTTAATCAAAGTACTGAAGAAACAGGAACTATGGGCCATGGCTTACTGTTCGATCATCATTTTCTATCATGTTCATCATTTTTCAGACTTGAGAGAGAAGACTCAAGAGTCAAGATAGGTCAAGATGAATGATATTCTTAATGAAGATTTGTGAAGTGTCAAAGTTGTTCTGCTAAGCTGCTACTGGTACAGCATTCTGCAGATCCTGCCACTCTTCCACCAGGTGCCCCGGCGGGATCTCGAACACAAACCAAGCCGCCAGTGCAGTCAGCATGGCCAGAGAAGAACTTGGTGGCAGAATGCACCACGATGTCCACACCTGGCTGACTGACTTTGGGATCCCAAAGTGGGGAGATCTTGGGAGATCTGCCGGAAAAGTAGAATAAGTTTGAGAAATCCAGAGGCCAACACAGGCAGACTGGAAAACGCCGCAAACAGCGACACCACTGGGACCATGACCCAGGGTGAGTGGTTTACAAATCACTGGAGGCATCATGGTACTGTCCACGGAGACGAGAATGCCATACCTCAGTGGATGGGCGACAGTGGCACTTGCGCTGTGGAGCTGCGCGACTGGGCAGCCCTGACTTGTGAGCAATGGCGCAAACGCCTCGCATGTCTGTGATCCGCATGCGAGGATTAGACCTGATCCGGCCAGGTTTTTGCTGATTGTGGAGGGCCTCAGCCTTTTTCAGCCACCCTTTACAGCACGAGCTGCTGGCTGCCAGAAACACTTTTGGTCATGTTGAAAGATACTGAAAGACACGAACTTCTGAAAGTCTGGAGAGTGGCTACCAAGTGTGACTCTATATATATGTATGTATATATATATATTAAAGGTTTTGGCTGGAAGGTCCCCACGCCCGACCAACCAGCTCATTACCCTAGCGGGTTCGGCGCCGCCCGCGGGTCATATCGACCTCTTTGCAAGTGCTCTCACAGCCTGACCAGCTGTGATCACCACGCGCCCACTTTCGGTCTGGTGCCCACGGCCTTTGACCCGGTCCTTTTGTATGTGCAGGGCACTTCATTGCTTCTTCCTGCACACATCGATCCTGGTCTTCGTGAATCTGATCTGTGGTGAACTTCCTCGTGGCCTTGCTGAACACGGCATCGCTTTCGACGAGAAGAGCCCAGCGAAGGAGCAGAGCGCAAGCTCGACTAGCTTGGTTTTTGCATCGGAAGGGCTACAAGACTCTTTCTGTTCCCCAACTCCGGCATCTACATTACAAGCTCAGTCTGCACCATTCACGAGATCCACGTCTTCTGCGATCAATTCTTGCGGCAGTACAAGGAACAATGGCCTCCAAACAACCTTCTTGGAGATGTGCCACGTGTCACGTGGTCATGAAGGGATCCTTTCCAAGATGTTGGAAGTGCGGGCACGAATGGGCTTCGTGCTACGACCACACCTTTGTGCCGATCGACCAGCGACAGACTTCCTACAGCCAGCAGACAGGGCAGCCACCACCATGGGATGGACAATGGCAAGGGTCCAACTCTGGTTCATGGAGTCCGAGGTCGCGCACGAGAAGGTCATCGAATCGAGGACGCAAGAACAACAGAGGTCAGGGAATGTGGCAAGGAGGAGATCAACAGTATTCCTCCAAAGGCAATGGCAAGGGACAGGAGCAACATGCACCGGCACAGGTCCCCATGCAGCAGCCTCTCATGCCCTTCCCTGCTATGATGCCTCAATATCAACAGCCGATGATGCAACCTCCACTTCCACCGCCTATGATCGACAAGGGAGCTGGGAAAGGAGCACCTCCCCCTCCTCCCGTGATGTCCACGATTGGAGTGCCTGCACAAGGTATGGTTCCTCAAGTTCCTACCATGCCCTGGGGATCAATTGGACAGATGATTCCCTATCCTGCAGCACCCTCGTGCCCTACGGAACCTGCCACCACATACCGGCAGGATGGCCCAGCCCAACAGAAGTTGAACAGACTTTTGAAGGAGATGAAGAAGGAGGAAGACAATCTCTCGCCGCACCTGCAGTCGATTGCTCACGAGATGCAGAAGCAGGACGAGAAGAACAACATCAAGAACCTCTCATCGGCAGTGCGATCGCTAGGGGAGGCCAAACAAGAATTGCTCGAGGCAGAGAATGCACGAGCCCAACTATTATCTCAATGGAAGATCTTCCTGCAACAGTCAGTCGTGAAGTGGAGAGAATTTGCGGCCAACTTCCATGCCTCAGAAAGAGCTCATCAACAAGGAGTCCAAGCAGCGAGGCTTTCTGTCAAGCGAGCTCAACGAGTCTTCGACCTTGCTTCGAAGAAGGAACAGGCAGGACAGGAAGGGACAGTGACCATCTCAGACGAGGAGGGCGACAACGATGCAGCAGACGATGCCATGGAGGACCCCCACGACGAGAGTGTGCAACGCATACATCAAGGTATGGACTCCCTGGTATCCAGCCTCGAAGAGCTCTCCACGTCGGCAGATCAACTGGAGCAGCGGGTCAAGCGCCCCAGAGTTTCTGCACCAGATGGCAACGCTACCTCCACACCTGCGCCGCATTTTGGTGCGCCCGGTGCTGTATGACAGACTTGTATACTCACCAAGGGCTTTGCGATCGGCCTGTGACCAGCCCAGAGGCGATGAAGCTGCAATGGTCACATTCAGTTCTCCATGAAAGGGACTTCCTGAGCGAGTGGCAAGCACAGGAATGTGCGTCCATGTTAGCTGCTGATATGGGTTTTTCAGCTTGGCTGCGTGTTGACACTATTTCCTTGTCGAGGAGGCGGCGATGCAAATCTGGCCATGTTCACTTTTGTGACAATATCACAGTTTTGGTTGGTGAGGATGACGGTATGGACTTTCGACCCACCATGATACATCACTCTGCCCTTCGTGATTTCAGTGACAAACCTTGGAAGCTACGTTCCCGCCGCTCCAAGTCATTTGATCCCGATCACCAAGAATCAGAAGTGGTCTCCTTGATGGCCAGACGACCCTCACAACCCTCTCGGCCACCTGCCAGTGAAGTTTCGTCTACATCATCTTCATCCACCTCGACCTCATCTAGCTCATCAATGGCCGAGTCAGCAGACTGGCGACAGACAGTTTTGGTTTTGTTGGATGGCCGAACTCTTTCTGCAAGACTACCATGGAATGATGGTGAGCAACTCATTGTCAGCACGCGACAAGCCATTGGAGATCAAGGACATGGTCTATATGGACTACATCATGTGCAACATCGCCCTGAAGACCTCTTGCAGCAAGGACTTCAATGTCTTCTTGTCCAAACTGGCCTTGAACCTCGACCCTCAACATTCTTGAGGCTTGTGCTGATCGACATGGAAATCTTTGAGCCCAACGAGGTGCTTCCAGGAGCCTTCAAGCGATTCTCCAAATGGATCCCGGAGACCATCAATCGGGTGTCCTTTTTCCGCCTGCTTGGACTTGAATCCCTGCTACAAGTGCATCCTGAGAGAAGCCACCTGTGGCACAACAATGTTATCATTCCAACGAATCAGATGAGCCCTATGTACCCGCGTGATGGAGATTATTTTCGAATACTCATCGGCGACAGTGTCGACGGGTTCGCATGTCTGCCTTCCAGTCCTACCTCATTCATTGAGAACAACTCGGAGGAGGATGATGCCATTTCAGGATTGCAGACCTTCACAACAACCACATCTGACCAGGCTCCCCTTGCAGTATCTACTGACGTTGATCCATTGTTCAAAGCGACTGTGTGCATCTCCAGTACTGATTTCTGCCAGAAGGAGCCGACTATGAACAGTGTCAATGAGCCCTTCAGTTACTTTCCATCAAGCTCGAATGCAGACAGTGAGGCTCACCACAGAGACCTAACTGGTCGACCACCGCGAGTAGAGCAACCCATCTGGCAGCAAGAAATTTGGGATCTACTCCGAGCACATGGTGAAGTAGAGATGGAAGAGGAAGGGCCGATCATTTATGTCACTTCCCAATACGTCTCGCACACCAGATTCCCACGCAATACCGTGATGCGGCCACTGCGATTTGACACGGATCATGAAACATGGGAAGCCTCAGTGCGTTTTATGTGGGAAGACTTCATGGATGACCAGAGCCCCTTTGACCTCCACATCGTGATGCCTGACCCACCTATCACCATCTACCAAGGTACGGTTGCGACTGTGTTGATCACGCAACATCCGATACCTGCAAGAGCTGCATGTGTCCTTACCATGGCTGCGCTTGGACATGCCAACCATCACAACATTCAGACTGCATATTCGGCTGCGCAACCTATGCTTGTTGATGAACTGATTGCTGCAGCTGATGAACATCGACTCTGTGTGATTGACGATGCCCATTCACCACCATGTCAGCTACGGAATGGTCCTCAAGCACTACCATTGGGTCACGAAATTCATGTTCACGATGGCTTAGGCCTTCAGGTTCTCGTTCCTGAAGAGAGAGCGCGTAACACCAATCTCATTCCTGCGACCCGTGACGATGCAATGCTTCCCGGGGATCAGGAAGACGATGATCATGCTGCCTTCTTTACGACGAAACCTGCTACAGTCAAGTGTGGCCTCGACATTCCCACTGGACGAGACGAAACCAACTTCTATCAGCAAGCTTCCACAACAATTGCACAGCCTGCACCACAATGGAATCCGGCCACGCCTGACTCATTCCTGGAAAACCTGGCTGGTCTTTGGGAACTTCTGGCGTTCTCGTGGGAGGATGAGCCACGTTCTGGTATGGTTTTGGTATGGTTTGTTGACCACCACTGGCCTGAGCCCTATTGCTTGGCCCCCAGAGCTGTCCAGCTATTCCCAGCCATTCAAGAATGGAGACAGCGCATTTGGCAAGCATGGGAGGATGAGATTGTACCTGGGGTAGCGCTCGATTTCCACTTGGTGATTCCCAAGCCTCCAACTGCTGAAAGTCGTGTCATTGCTCATGTACTACTTGTACAACGACAGCAACCACGATGGGCCACCGTGATTGTCTCTGTTTTTGATGCACGTGCACCTGAACCGGAAGTTCGACAGATGGCAATTACCCTCCCTGATCAAATTCAAATGGATGATCTCTTACAGGTTGTTGGAGTTCACAGAGAGTGCACTATGGTTCTGCCAACGCTGCGCTGTACTGCATGGCATCACGACCACATTCTACGACGAGGTGTACCCCTTCCTGGACGCTCTGGCATTTCTATTCTTATGCAGATCACTGACCCGCCGGTCGCCATTCCTGTTCCCATGGAGGTCGAAGACCATGATGAGGTCGCTGCGTTGCAACAATCTTCACTGCCCATCAAGAACCAAATCAAATTGGAACAGTTGATTCCGGAGAGGCCCAAAGTGATTGTTGACTTTACAGCAGCGGCACAGGCATATTTTGCACTCATGGATGTCCGCCTTGATCTCCTCTCTGATTGGCCAGCATCTCTTGAACTTCCTGAAGAAACGACTGCTGCGCTTGCGGATCTGCATCAATATGAGCATGACACACCCATTCACGCGTTGCACTTCTATGTTGACGGATCCAAAGTCACTGGACATGAAGTTGGTGCTGCCACCATCTGCCTGACTGAGACTGTGAACGGGCTTTCCCTCGCTGGAATCCTGCCCACACACGTCCACTTTGCGGATCACGCGTACATTGGAGAACATGCTGCTATGATACATGCCTTA